TTCAATAATTCTGTTACTTGAATCTTGGTTAGTCTTAGCACAAACTCTGCGTTTTGGAGAAACTTCGGTACCTACTCATCCTTGGTGTGTGATGTCCATCGGCAAATCCTGCAGCATCCTCTTTTCCGAATTTACGACATCTTGTTCGCCTTTAGCATGGTAGCTGGCTGAGTCAGCTTTAATTTTTGATGATTCCAATTCCCTTACTTGACCAAAATTAGTGATTTCAACGAGTGCAGCACTGTCAGCACTGAACAAGGGTGAGGAGGGGCGTTTTCTCGGAAACGGCCGGTGCTGATGCCAGTTATAAAGCGCTAAGAAGCACTAACGAAGCACTAACGATGTGATCATGTATCGTCGTTAGTGCTTTTAATGATCATGCGAACTTCACGGACCTCAATTCATTTTAAAGCTAACGCGCGTACAAAAATTGTGTATGTACGGACGAGCGAGTAAGAAATCCTTACACGCGAACAACAAGCTTCCGCTATAGCGCTCACCTAAAATAACACACTACACAAAGGAACAATGACAAAAGAAATTAATATGCCTTATTACTAGTGTAATTCGATTCTACTTTCTTCTTGCATTTTGAAAATATAGGCCGATCGCATTTGACGCATAGAACGGGTTAAATCCAACCGAAAAAAGAAAAGCTTGGAACTTTGCCAGGATAGTCATTATGGCTTCGATGTTTCGATGCACGCAAATATAAAAGAAATAACCCACCAAGTCCGGGTTCGGGTTTTTTTTTGTGGTTTCCAGTTTTTGTTTAATATTTTTCACTCGGACAGAAATTCTCATTCTTCAATAATGCTACAGTTGCCTTCTGTAATCCCACTCGATTAAGGACACCCTATCTATATATTACCTGGGAACCCAGCCCATTCCGAGTGCTTAATTTTTTTTGATTTGTAGTACACTTTATATTTATTGGTTTGCAAATAGTCGTTTGAATGATAATCCATCTACGACACTAAGAACTCATCGGTGACAGTTTGAAGATAACAAGGAACGTAGTAAAAGTGATATCCAAACAACACTATACATAGACCGCAGGCTGCTAAGAGGAAGGTCATCCTGGTCATCGGTTAAGACCACTCACATTTCTCTATACGAAAATCATTTTTAAACCAATAGGTGCTGGATCCATGAAGTTGGAGTGTCGACTTGCAAATGAATTAAATTCCAAGTATCTCATAATTTTGTGCTAATTTGTGCTGCTAATTTAAAATTTTGTGCTCATCATTAATGAGTAATGCAACTTTTTCTGATGACATTCCAACTTCACGCTGTAGTATTCCGGAAGTTGTTTTATATGACCTTAAATCGGTTTGCTATATAACAATACGTTCTTAGGGGAATTTTTTTAATTAAACAAATCCCCTAATGTGATGGTTTTGTGCGTTCGTTGGTTCATCTGTTTCCGTCTAACTCGAGAACGAAAAGAGACAGAGATGTCAAACCTTCGCCAATCGCGTTCTACAACTTCAAGGATCAGTGCTATTGGATATGAACCGGATTAAAAATCATCTTTGCGAATATGAAACGTTTCGGAATCTACGATACTAAATTAATAGAAAAAGTGTGTTACACCAAGCGCGCATTCGCAAAGATGATACATCGCTGTCTCTTTACATTCTCGAGTGAGACTGAAACAGACGAACAACCGGAAGGACAAAACGATCATATTAGGGGATTTGTTTCATTCAAAAATTCCTGTGAGAACGCATTATTACTAGCAAAACTATTTAAAGTAATATAAAACAACTTCCAGAATACTACAGCGTGAAGTTGGAAAGTTGAATTACTCATTAACCTGACGAGCACAACATTTTAAATTAGCAGCAAAATTAGCACAAAATGAGCACACAATTATAGTGAAACAAAATTTGGAAAATATCAATGTTGACACTCCAGCGTGAAGGAGTGTCATCAGAAATCATTAACCTGATGAGCACACAAGTTTAAATTAGCAGCACAAAATGAGCACAAAATTATGAGATATTTGGAGCACAATTCATTTCAAGTCGACACTCCAACTTCACGGACTCTAGAGTAATAGATACGAACGTTTACCTTAACAATTTCTCGCTGCATCTTAAGTTTTGTTTATATGCATAATCCACGTATACCAAGCGTCAAAAATAAATCTATTGGATATATATTTGGAATATATTTTTCTAATAAACTGATGTGCCAAAATATTGGAATAATTAGAAATCTAAAACTTTCTTCACTGCCGTACTAGGTATTGGAGTTTTTTTTGACAAGTTTTGGTTTCGTTATTTTCATGTGCAAGGATGCCGCAGCTCGGTTCAGGGGTACATCTTCTTAGGGTGGGCATATTGGAAAATATTTGTAAGGTCAGAAAGAAAATGCCCAAAAAGCTGTTTTGTTCCTTTATCACCAAATTTTTTAACATACTTGACAACTCTGTGTAGTCTTTTACTGACTCGAGTAAACAAAAATGCTTGATGGTGCTTGAATTTCAGTAAACTTCTTGTCTTAGCTTAATGATGTTTTCGTGCGGCCGTTGGATTCCCTTAAACCAACTTATGTTTACATAATTGCCTTCGCTTTTATCTTCACCAAGCGAGTATGTATCAAATGTGGTGGGTACAATTCTAAAGGTTCTAATACTGTATGCGATCTGAATAAGAGTACGTGTGTTTTGGGACACAATCCATTGAAATATCAGGAATGGTGGTGGTAGTAGCTCCTATCTTGTTTGTCCAAACCACTGAGAAGAGTCTAATACAAAATCCAAAGTTTTTAGGAACTTCCACTAGAAGTTCTTACGAGGTGACAAGGATTTATGTAAAAAAAAACGATACGCGATTATGTAATGATTTGGAACATGAACAACACGATACAAATCTATAATAAATTCTTGGAATAAGTGTAATAATCGACAATGTCATGGTTAAATCGCACTTCGAGGTCGCGATTGTTTTTTTGCAGCGAAAGGAAAAGAGCACTCATATAAATGTTTGCTCTTCTTGGCGTGCAGTTTAAGATTTAAGTTTTAAGATTAGGTACGTTTTGATAATTTTTACGGTTCGCGTAAAAAATTTCCATTTGTCAACAAATAAACTCTTCGTAATTATAATAAAACTGTACTTAGTTCCCCATAAGAATACTTTTACTCTCTTTTATTCACCTTTCACAACTATAAAAGCAATTGACTTAATTGCATTCTTAAATTTAAATAAATTACAAATGAAACATTTTTCGTATGGTACTTTACGTAACCTTTTTGGGATATGGTACTTACATTAGGGTAATAATTAAGGAGATGCCAAGTAAAGTACGGGAAAGAAGTCATGAAAGTAGAAAGCATTATATTCCACTCAAATAGAAATTTGGTCATTAAAAGTCCTACCAGTACCTATCGAAAACAATTTGCTGTAATTGAGTTTAAATATTCAGAAATGTAATTAGTATCAAATCACTTGCACTAAAGTTCAGTGCTTTGCCAAAATTCGATAGTGTATGACATAAGGTTTGTTGTCTCTGCACGGTGCAATTATTAAAAATGTGAGTACCTAGAGTTAATTTTAGTCATTATTCGTCTTGTATAGTCAAGAGAGACGTTACTTAAAATAGTGTCAGTCTACGATATACTCTTCAGTCAGGTGTATTGCATTAAATCTTATCTTTGAATTTAAACCAATTTTGCTACCATCACAGTGAAGCGTGTTCTTAAATTTCGGGTACAAAAAAAAACGTAAGTTGTTTAGCTTCTGTAGTAACGTTTGTAATGCTCTATTTGATATAAAACAATTGGGGAACTAAACAATGGCGTTATGCAGTTTGTTAAAAAATATGTTGTCATTCTTTTATGTAAGAGCTTAATTTTCAGTGTGACATTATCCGAACTAGCAGAAAGCTAAGGGTACTAGGTATTTTGTTCTTCCATTTATATTTTACTTTACCGGTTTCGTGCTAAAATTGTATTTTGATTTTTTGTGCTCCGATTTATGCAATCGTGACGTATTAAAAGATTCCCATGATCGTTATTAGAAAATAATTAAATAGATATTATAATTATATTGCAAAGAAAGGTCAAATAATTAATATGCATTTCCCTCTAGATATTTCAATAATGTCTGTACTGTCAACAAACACGTTTTTAATTGCCAAACAGTGGGAAAAATTAAGGTCAGCCTTAGTTTTACTGGATGAAGCAACGTAAATTTCGTACATAATTGATCAGAATTGCAGAGTTTTACGTGATTAATATCTCGTATTTGCAGTAATCGCTAATTGCTTCATAACTTTTAAGTCTTTGCGAACATCGTTAAATAGGTACTACAGAAATTAACTTCGACAAAACGTGGCAACTTCTATTTTACATTCTTACGCCTTGTTATTGGAAGGATTAACAAAATTGTATTGTGGGTACAAAATTGATTACACTTAGATGTTTCCCAATTGGATTGGCTACGTCTGATTTATGATTGAAATTATTTTTGTCTACTTACCTTTTAAATTGGAAAACATAAACACGTCACCCTAAAAATTAATTTATTTGTTGGTCTCCGATATTCAAACACGTACCTATATATTTATCTTTAGTCCATTCAGTTTGATTACGTGTTTAAAGTAATTGAAAGAAACGTAAATACCGTTTGAAGCTAACCCACTCGTATCTAATTGTACAAGGAAGATTAAAAGGGCAGACTTTAATAATCCAGTTTAATTACTGATGACAAATCTGAGGTCTGTACGTATTTTCATTAAAACATTCTATCTCTTTCATGTTTCAACATTGCCCATAACTTTCCAGCCCCACTTAAACGTTTCTTTAAGAATGAAAGAATGAGGTTTTCAGTTACCAGTTTTAATTCGCCTATCCTTAATACAATTTTAAAATTGTGTGAATGTCTAATATAAAGTATAAAAAAATAGGATCAATGGATTTTTTAATTAAATTTACATCTATAATGTTATATTTGTGGCAAATATATAAAATATGTGCGGTTTTCGGATTGCAGTTAATTGAAATGACTCCCGGAAACACATCCATACCGCAACGTGTTATTTCTAAAGGAGATAAGTGTAGTAATTACGACACACACTTAAAACTACCATCACAAATTGGGACGGACTACGGCTTCAAGAGAAAAATTGTGTGGTTTAACGCACTTGGATTTGTCGCCCTTCATTTAGCCGCCCTTTATGGATACTACTTGTGCCTGCATGCTCGATTTTTCACGGTTGTTTGGAGTAAGTACTTCCGTTTATAATATTACGACCTTCATTCACTCGTTTAAATGAAGTAACAATTATTTGTATTCTCTTTTAGTGTTGGCATTAGTTCTAGTGTCTGGATTGGGCGTAACTATCGGAGCCCATCGAATGTATTCTCATAAAGCCTTTAAAGGTGCATGGCCGTTACGACTTGCTTTAATTATGTTGCACACACTAGCTGGCCAGGTAATAATACTTATAATGCACCTAATTGATTGCAAGAAGGTATTTAGAAAAAAAGCGTTCAAAGCACGAACTTTATTTCCCAATGTTTAATAACAATGAGCAGGAAATTAAAACTGTTACGGACCATCCATCAAAATTTAACTACAGTTTAATGGTGCCGAAAGCTAGTATGTAGTAATAGTGTTTTGATCTAGATGTAACGCAATCCGCTAACGTCAAATACCTTCTTTCTCGTGGTGTTCTATTAACCTTAGCCTTACGAGAAAGCGAAATTACCGGTTAAACTTTTCAGAACTGCATGTACATTTGGGTTCGGGATCACAGACAACATCACAAATATAGTGATACGGATGCAGATCCGCATAATGCCAACAGGGGCTTCTTCTTTTCACATATCGGATGGTTGATGTGTAAAAAGCACCCGGCAGTGATAAGTAAAGGAAAAACCATCGATTTATCTGATCTTGAGGCGGATTCTTTAGTAATGTTCCAGAAAACGTAAGTTGGCCAATTATAAACACTAACATTATTAGATAACATCGTTAATTTATTATAATGTTAATATATGTTAATAATTGCAGATTCTATAAGTCGCTATATGCGATATTTGCAATGGCACTTCCAATAGCAGCGCCTATATATTTTTGGAACGAAACCTATCTCAACTCACTTTTCATAAGTTACTTTGCTCGTTACATTATGGTCCTACATTTTACTTGGTTAGTGAATAGTGCTGCACATTTATACGGCACTCGTCCGTATGATGAGTAAGAGATTTTAATATTTTATGCTCTTGGAAATTAATACAATGAATTTTTAGAACTTTAAAACCCGTGGAGTGCTATCTCATAAAGTGGATTTCGGCAGGAGAAGGCTGGCACAATTACCACCACGCGTTTCCTTGGGATTATCGCGCCGCCGAATTCGGTTCGCATTATAGTTTGACGACATTCGTAATCAATATTTTAGCGGCAGTCGGTTTAGCATACGACTTGAAGGTAGCGCCCTATACAATGGTACAACATCGAACTTTACGAGCGGGCGATGGCACCCATCATATCTTTGGAAAGGAAGCTCAAATCACGCACGGCGACATACCCTACACGCAAACACCAGATGTGGACGAAGGGTACTTTGGAGATTTAAAGGACAACAGTAATAGGTCATTAACAATTAAGGGTTAGCTGGTTACCGGTAGTTAGGTATTTATTCGCAACGAGGTGCCGAGATGATTTGAGCTTCTCTAATTTGAACCTTCGTGGGCATTGCACGATGAATTTACGAAATTTCTAAATAGTGCGTTTTAATTATTTGGTTATTTAACTACATATTTATTTTTCAAATATTTAAGTTCTTCTTACTTCATTTCGTATTAAGACTGACGTATCGGGCACCACATGTACCTAGTTTGTTAATTTATAGTATGTGATAGCATTAGTTTGGATGATTGTTTATATTAGGTTCATTCAAACAGGGGATGATGTGTATAGGTAATTTGTTAATTAAACTGTGTAGTACGTAATTCTTAAATTTCTTTCTGCTAACGATGTGATCGAATTTTGCATAGAAGAACTCTAGGGTTTGTATGTATGTTAAATTAAAAATTGATAATTGCAAAAAATTTAAGTTGCGTTCGTGTTTATTCAAGAATAGTCGTAATTCGTAGTACTCATTTGCTTGCAACAAAATGCCCCCAACGACCTAACGTGCCGTGCGAACTGTAACAAATTTGTCGTCAGTACGTTGACCCAAACAGAACTGAATGCGCCAAACATTTTCCAATTTTGATGGGAACGCAGCGAATATCGCAAACTCTCCAAAGAGCCCCAGCAAAATGTTTGTTGGAATCTATATATTCAGCGCGCGCGACGCGTTTGGTTCGTTGGGGGACATTTTGTTGCAAATGAATGCGCACCTAAACAGCAAAGTGCCCGAACTTTCACAGCAAGAGTTTGTTGGATTATATCCAGCGCGTGTGGTTTGTTCGGGGCACTTTGTTGCAAATGAGTACGCAACACTGATCTAACGATCAGTTTTAATTTTGTTTGATTTCGTCTTTACCCAACCAAACGTCGCGTCAGGGTCAGTACTTATCACTTATCAGCCAGCAATTTTGATATCTGCCTATTTCACAAACATCGCAAAAAAACACCAACCAAGATAGGGCTGCATTGGATGCCCAGGATGGTAAAGAAGTCACCGATACACAACTTTAAACTAGAAGCAATATCCGAAATTATAGTTCGAGATTCGATTGCTTCCTTCAAAAATCTCAGCTAAATTCCAATTTCCAACCAATATCCACTTGTGAGCCCCCTAACAATTAATAATAATATTTATTTCATGCATAGTTAACAAAAGAAACTTACATTCGTCAAAACAATGGAAAAATCTAAAATATTATACATATGCTTAATAATTACATGGAAAAGTTTTCATATCGTAAAGCAGAAACTCTTCAACAGAATAGAACGCTTTACTTAATAAGAAGCTTTAACCTTTAACTTAAATAGTTTTAATTCTAAGGCGGTTAAACAGCTGGGTAGATGGTTGAATATTTTAAGTACCATATTGGTGGGTCCATTCTGAGTTTTTCTTAATCGACAATAAGGTATCCGTACTAAGTCCTTGTTTCTTGTATTGTATTTATGTATATCCGAGTGAAGAGAATATGTATCCAGTCCACTGTAAGTTTGACATGACAAACACATGTTAACACAAATAGACATGGCAACGTGAGTATCTTTAATTTTATAAAACTTGTACGACAATCATCACGATATCTAATTTTGGCTAAAATTCTAACAGCTCGACGTTGTAGCTTAAACGCGTATTTTAACTGCGAAGAATAACCCCTGGTAAGTAGAGCATATGATAGCACACAAAGTGCGTAATATGCATTAATTAAAACTTGAGTTGAGACAGTTTTTGCTAATCGTCGCATAACGAACAAATGTTTGCTGAATTTGATGGTAATTATGATAAACATCATAATTACTTTGGGAATCTTTCCATGAACATTTCGAAACCAAAATCGTATTTTGTAATTTACAATTTGGCTTTAGAAAAAACAAAAGGACGGTGGATCACGGATGCGCTGAACTATTTTATAAGTCGTACATTAGAATGCTTTGAAAACACTCCATGACCACTTTCCTAGACTTACCAAAAGCCTTTGATCGAGTATCCCATCTTGTTGAACATGTTGAAGAATATTCATTGACTCCAGCGTTTTTTTATATATATTATATTAACTGGATCGGCGCACATGGGTCATACACAGCTAGTTTAAAATTATTGTTTAACTAAATAAATAAATATATAATATAAGATGTTAATAAGAAAATAATAAATAAGAGTAATAGTAATCTAACTATGAACACTTTTAATCACCGTCATCAAGTAGGATATCCTGTGGAAGTCTGGGTTTTAGTCTAAGGTTTTGTGATCGTTGACCAAGTGCGTAATAAATTGAACCCGGACAGTTTCTCAGATCATGAAGAAATTTTGTTGTTGTGGTTTTTATGAATGCACTAATTGGAGAAATATTGAGTTCGCGGCTGACTTGAGCATTACGCACAAACCAGGGGGCATCGGTAGCTATTCTTAACACCTTGTTTTGGAACGTTTGCAACTTACGCAGGTGAGTGTTTGATGCGGTCCCCCAAATTGGACAAGGATACATCAGGGCTGATCTCAGGATTGATTTGTAGATCAATACCGCACATTCAGTTTTCAATGGTGAGCTCTTATTTAGTATAGGGTATAGCAATCTTAATTTATGATGTGCGTCGTTCAACTTTAGGTTTATATGTATTCCCCATGTTAGTCTGTGGTCCAAGTGTACGCCAAGGTATTTAACAGCTTGATCCTTGCGATTCCACGGTATTTGCCTGCCATTGATTTGAATGCATCTTGGATTGCTGTACCTTCTTAATGTGAAGATTTTTGTGACACATTTCGTTTCGTTGAGTAGTAGGTTCCATCGGTTATACCAGCTACTAATTTCATCTACGGCTTGTTGAAGAGCCCCGATGGCTGTATCCAAATCAGAACTGTGTGTTACTATGGCTGTATCATCAGCAAACATGGAAAGAGAACAATTTACTGGGACAGGAATATCGTAAGTATAAATGTTGAAGAGTAAAGGGCCAAGTACAGACCCCTGCGGCACACCTGCTCTAATACTCTTGATGTTTGAAAGTGTTGAATTGATTTTGGTAGAGTACGTTCTATCACATAGAAAGGAAGATATAATGTTGATGATGTAGTTTGGAAATTCAAGTTCTAGCATTTTATGTAATAAGCCCGCATGCCAAACCTTGTCGAATGCCTGTGCGACGTCTAAAAATATTGCAGCAGTATATTGCTTGCTTTCAAAGCCTTGAACTATACTTTCTGTGATTCGAAGAAGCTGATGGCTAGTAGAGTACTTGGAGCGATATCCGAATTGGAACTCTGGAAGTATATTCTTTTGTCTTAGGTAATCATCGATGCGGGCATGAATGACTTTCTCTAACAATTTAGAGATGGTACTCAACAGACTTATGGGACGGTAGGACGAAGGTGAGTGGCCCGGTTTTCCAGGTTTTTTAAAATGTATGACATGGGCATGCTTCCAGGCAGTAGGGAAGTATCCCGTAGCAAGACTGGCATTGAAAAGCGAGGCGATATGTGATAAGCATTTTCCAGTGAGATTCTTGAGTATGATGTTGGTGATGAGATCTGGACCAGGAGATTTTTTGTTCGGTAATTGTTTGATCAGCGATGCAATTTCAGCGGGTGTTGTTGTATTTATCATATTATCTGAAGGAAGTGGTATGCGTTGATTAACAGTTTGTTCCGTCAGATCCGTAAATGCTGCATTAGTAAGTTTAATATTAGTAGTTAGTACATTTTCTAGGTAGCTACCAAGTGCTTCGCATTTTTCAAAGTCACTGCAATATGCAGTATTATTAATCTTGAGAGGTGGTATTGAAGATTTTTTGTTATCAATTCTCTTAACGGCGCGCCACATCGTTGGATCGTTGGGTTCTAGATCACTAATATACCGCCTGTAAGTCGATATTCTGTAGTTGTCGATCTCCCATTTGACTCGATGCGTTAGTTGGTTGAGTTCGTGTTTGTAAATTGTCTCCTAGTACGATGTTTTTCTTGTATTAGATTTTGAATAAAAATTGGTAATTGGAGATTAACCGATTTCCGTATTGCATTATTATTAGCTATTCTGGCAGATTTGTGGATAGACGACGTTAGGTTCTCAACTGCACGATTAATTCCCTCAGCTGTATATAGATTTGGAGTGTATTTAAGATTCTGATCAAGGTGATACTTGAAGATATTCCAATCGACCAAATTGTGAGTTAGCTTTGGGAGCCCTTTTGTTAAGAATGGTCGCCTTCGAAAGGTTAGGATTACCGGAAGATGATCTGAATCCATTTCAGTTATTACCTGTTGATGTATGGGTCTGGAGATGTTATGCAGTAAGCAGATATCAAGGATATCTGGTTGGTGATCAAATCGTTTAGGAAAGTAAGTGTATTCATCTGGTGCGTATACGTGTAGAGGGTGATCTGAAGTAAAGGAGTACAAACGAGTGCCATTCGGATTAGTTTTTCGACATCCCCATGCGGTGTGTTTACTGTTTAGATCTCCTAAAATTACGACTGATGGGCTAATATCCAAAATGTGGTTGAGATCCTGTGGAATTAGCCTTCGACTTGGAGATTGATAAGCTGCAACTAGCACTATTTCCTCATTGTTACTTAGTGATAATTTAATGGCACATGCTTCAAGATTTTCGAGCGGCGGAAGGATTACTTCGTGATGTTTGATACTTTTCTTGATCACAATTGCAGTACCACCATATCCGTCCTGTTCAGGTCTATCACCACGATAAATACAGTATCCAGGTATTGAAAAAACAGTTTGGGATAATAGATGGGTTTCGCTGACACAGACTCCAGCGTTGTACTCATTCGATCATATCTAAAAAACAGAATGCAGCATGTTTCCTTCAACAACAGCATATGTGATCAGCTTCCAATACATAATGGTGTACCACAAGGTTCTGTACTGAGACCTATGCTAATGACCTACCAAAAAATCTTCACCAGGACATGGGCGATGTTCTATGCGCTGACGACACTACAGTATTTTGCTCAAATCGCAAGTGTCGCAATCAACCATTCACAAACCGCGATCAATGCCATAAAGCAGTGCTGTACGCAGGGCCGGCTTTAGGCGTAAGCCGTGTAATCCGCCGCTTACGTCGCAGACAAGAAAGGGCGCAAAAATTACCTACACAAGTTTAATGACTGACGAACCATGGACGTAAAAATCCGTACACCGGAAGCATATTCGTAAATAGCAGACGCATTGTCCCTTCTGAAAAATCTAGCATTTTTGTTAAACTTTGCTTTTCAAAAAAATGCGAGAACACAATTTTAAAGCTAAAATGTTCAACTCCGCTGAATTGCAATTAACGGGACATTGGCTGATAGGCGGTACGAAGTTCGTCGGGTCTGCTAGTAAGAAGTGTTTTAAATATGAACCTTTATACAAGCTGTTAATTAATGTCATGCAGATATTTTAGGGGGTGATAGTACTCGTGAAAATACGAAAAAAATGCAATGGATTGTCAGAAAGTTGTCGTTTATGGCATACAGGATGGCAAAGAAAATGCAACACCCTGTATACCGCGACTAACTATTTTGATATTGTAGAGCGAGTTGTAGAGATTGTAGAGATTCTAAAATAATTAATGTATTCAATTTGAAACATAAGAGAGACAATGCAAAATACGAGAGAAAAATTGAAACTTTGCCACCCTGTAAAACGAAACTGCCGCCTTTTGCACAACGCACATATTTGCATTTTTTTCTTATTTTGACGAGTGCTATCAACCCCTAAAATATATGCATGACATTAATTAACACCCTGTATTTTTAAAAGCATGCTTTCAAAAAGTTCCCATTAGAGAGGCGCAAATTTTAGTGCTCGCTTACATGTAAGTTTTGACTTGAGCCGGCCCTGGCTGTACGTCAAATGAACTTCTTTTGAACGAACAAAAAACGGGAGACATTTTTTCTTTTTCTTAAATCCTCTAAAATACAGAATCTTGCTTAAAGCAAGTACAGTTTCTTGGCTGCGTACTAACTACTGGATAGCCACTTGCCATAGACACCGCACTGTAATTGGATCATAGGCCGAATGAGTCGATAAGTTTTTCTCCTCCAACGCCTTGAAATTTACAATGTATTTCTTGTTGATGGTAACTGCAAGACAATAAACGGAAAATGTAAAATAATCAATAAGCAATCCATGGAATTATTGCCATAAGAAATACATTGTACACTTCAAGGCAAGATTAATTCCCAAATGAAATACTAAGTGTTGCACTTCACTGGTTTTGTAATTTTTTTCTCTATCTAGTGACGTAAAAATTAAATACGGCGCCCATAAGCAATAAGAAAGTTGATGTAATTTATTCGAAACCCACAAGTCATAAAAATTTTATATCAGTACCATCAGAAAGCTAATTTACTAAGGGTTTGTTAAAATTATTATCCACCATACAATTAGTGCACCGTACATTATTATTGGCCCGGTCTAGGACATTTTGGCAAGGTTACTTTGACGCAACGCAGCTATCTTGCCACCTGGACACTTTGGTACAGAGAACCATTGGCGCTCGGCCAGGGGGGCATTTTGGCCGCGTGACTGTTTAGCACTAGGTATTTAACAATATTCTCAATGAGGCCAAATTGTGTCATCGCCAAAGCGGCAGCGCCAAATTGGCCCCGCCAAACTTGCCGGGTCCGTTAGCCAAAAGCCACATGCCCATAGACATGCAGTGTCCTTTTTGCTTATTCGCTCAATGTGCCTGTGCCCTTTCCAGGTCACGCGGGATTCCTATGATGATCCCCAAATATTTCACTGACTTAGTCAGACCCAGTTGACGTCCTCGAAGAGTGAGCCCATTAAGATCCGCTCTCCGTCTATTCGTACAAAACAACCTCAGTTTTTTTCGGGTTAACGGAGAGGCAATGGGTACTGCACTACCGATCCACCTGTTCAAGAGCTCTTTCACGGTGTTTGAAAACATCCTAGTTATAAAGATCGCGAGATCGGCCGCGTATCGCCGTGTATACGTAGAGTACGGTGGAGCCCACCTAGCACCAGGCACCACAGCACCGTAGGAAACACTTCACCCTACAAACGAACCCCCCCCCCCCCTCTAGGCACACATTCTCCTCTCTCCAGCCTGCGTGCTACGCTGTGAAGAGCCGTCTCCGACTAGGGCCCCATTGCTTATCTATGCATCCAACAGCTTCTCCATCTGTAATCCTTCGCCATGTCATATTTGGCACTACTCGGCTTAGGTAAGGTTAGGTAAGGTTAAATGGACTGAACGTACTGACGGCCCATCTCAGACATCCCTCGGTAACCACCCAGGCGGTACTTTCCAGTCAATCGGCCTTACGCCGACCCGGGTAGCTCCTTTTGGTGGGTGGATCCGAAGTTATATACCCAAAGCCTGGAAAGTGCTTTTCCAGGAGACATGTGAGAGATATGACATGACCTCTTCCACCTGGCCTGTTTTCTGACAGGACAAAGGTGGCCCATCCAACCACTCTGACAGTTTCGCCACATAGTAGTCCCAGTCAACATGGCCCGCAGTGGGATGCCAGGTTTAGTTGGAAAAGAATGTGCCTGTGGTCCGAAAGCGACAGCTTATCAGACACTCACCTACTCTTGATCATGCTAGTTACCTACTGCAAAGCGGTTATTTGCGTATTACTTTTGACGTACCGATCCGATCTTCACCTCGGCGATTCTTTTAGATTTTGACTTGCAGAATCCAAATCGCACAGATTTTTCCAACGGACGGGTAGATCAAAAGCACTTGCAGACATTTGCACCGCTTATATTAATTTCGTTAAAAATCGGTACGGTCAACGAGTACTCATAGTGACGGTTATTGCGATAACATGGAGTGTACCAAAAGCATTGAACGGTAACAAAGACTTTTAACTTGAATATCTATTGAAATAATTTTTAACGAAACATTGGCATTTTAATAGATTTGAATGAGTAGGCTAAATGGCTCTTTAGCCGTAAGGATAGATAAAGGGATCACTTTAATCGGAAGTGTAGATAAAGTGGAACAGACGATTATGATAATGCGACGCGGAGCACGATATAAAATGATGTTCAGAACATATGACAATGCTGTCAGCTTGCTATTTTAAATTCAGAATTTTCAGAAGTTTGCAATGATTTATATGGCTTCTACTACAAAATAGTTTTGTATTATACACGAATATAAAGGGAAACTAACCATCTCGTGAAAGTTAATTCACTCGAATGGTTAAAATATTCCTTTACCGTCTTATATAATAAATAACTATTAATTGATCAAGCGAAGGAAAAATTGGAACGTGTCGGTATCCAAGTACTTTCTGCCACAGATGATACTGATTCTTTAGTTGTGCTATTAAATAAGCCTATAGACGATAGTAGTGGGACAGTAGGTTGATCTTTTATTCTCATAACTGTTCTTTCCGAGGTTCTTTCTTATGTGGATAAAGATATTCGATTTTTAAGAAATGTTCAAGAAAACATAAAATAAAGGGCATACAGTTTCTTTCGATTTACAGACTTCGAAGAAAAATATATATTATTTGTTCATCATCATCACGCATTCAGTGAATGTGACACCAAGGGCATTTTGAGCAAACGTAGTAAGTATTCTATTCATCTTTGTGAGAAAAATTGAAAACACTAGTGCGAGTAGGTCACGATAGAGGGTGTTTTTTGAACAAAAAGGGGATGACGTACCCTGCTGAGCGGTGAGAACTTTTTTTGATATATATTCAATTGCCTGTAAGGAGCCCGTACCCTTCATAATTTTTTTTCTGTCAAAAAACCTATTTTACGTCGACTAACTGGAACTGTGTGTAAGTTATTTACGTTATTTAATAAACTTCTGGTGCTGATTTTTTGGCATTGGTACGTCTGAAAATAGTGAGGGTCTCGTCTCGTATAGTGGTTAGGCAGCAAATAAGCTAGAAAGATTACTAACATTGATTACAATTACTACCATCGAGAACTATAGCGATAAAGGCTACCAAAATTGCATAGAGTGCAAACTACGAACGCTGTAGTAATTGAAGTGTTTACAGATTGAAGATTACAATCTCAAAACACGTTTGTACGACAAAGCATCTCTGGCCTCCCTTCCTTAATATGTCTGTATCTTCTGCTAGTATTTAATATACAAAGTGCCAAAAATTTTGTACGCGTTTAACCTACGCTTTAGCGCCCTTTCGCATCAATAAATACGCTACACAATGTATCTATTATATTTATTTTAATATTTCAAGTAATTAATTGGGAACCAGTTTAGGACAGCAATCGGGAAACTCTTTTGTTAAATCTTTTGGTGACAAATGAGTACCTGGAGGAGATGGTTTACTTGGACACCTGCAAACATTCAGTTATAATTAATAATCTGCACTGTTGCATATGGATACTAACGTTAATAATCCCATGGTATTTCCTTCTGCACTAAGACACTTTACTTTTAGACAATAACCAATTGGTGCGGGAACAAAACCAACTCCTTCAGGAATAATTTTTCCATGGTAGTTACATCCCGCTGTAGCTACAACATACATTATTATTTAGTGTGTCGTCTTCAATTACAAATGTTAAGTAAATGAGTTGTTATGGCATAGCTAATGAAATTTTCATGCAAATTGTAGTGTTTATTAGACCATTTAATCTCAAAAGGTTTTAATATACTCCCAATTTCCGTATTTATCTTTCATTCGAGGAGTCTTTGAGGTAGGAAATTAGTCACTAGTAGTGACAAATTACATTAAAAATTGTTACAATTTAGGTTCTATGAAATTGGTAAATCCAATTACCATAGCCAGTCATTTGCTTCAGAAAAGATGATAAATGAAAAACAAGACAGAATGCCATAAAAATATATTCTGTTGCTTACACTCACTACTTATATGAAAAGGCTATTATAAACAACAAGCTAAAAATAAAACTCTGCCTTCCAATATTAGCAGGTGGCAATTTGGGGCGTGTCAAAAGTTTTCAAAGACTTATCACTTTAATTATCCAAAATAGAACGCTTCAAACCAAGCATTTGGACGCTGAGAATAGCAGCTGTTAAATTGACATTTTAATAGGTTTCAATGTCGCTCTTTAACCGTAAGGGTAGATAAAGTGATCACTCGCAAGGGTAGATAAACAAACAGATGATTATCCATTCTAATGGCATCTGTCATTCTTATTTAAAATGGGACGCGAAGCATGATATAAAATAATGTTCAGAACATATGACGCGGTCGTTTCCATAGAAACGGCATTTTCTATGGAAACGACCGCGACGGCAGAACCTAAGCTTGCTATTTTTGAGGTCTAAATTAAATTCAGAATTGTCAGGAGCTTTACAATGATTTATATGGCTTCTACTATAAAATAAAGTTTTGTATTATACACGACGATAAAGGGAAACTAACCATATCGTGAAAGTTAATTCCCTTGTGGCTATGCCAGATTACCACGACAACTTACTTTCAATTTTCTCAGCAGCAAAAGTAAAACATGTAAGCAAAGACACTAAAAGGAAACACTTCATTTTGGAATATTGGATAGCACAACTTGGAAAATATTAGAATGCCGTCTTTAGCAGACAGTTGTCGAATTTATGCGCTTATCTAAGACATTGGACCTTTGCTTTGATAGAGATGATCAACAACAAGTAAATATTTTTAAATACTTTTCATTTTAATTGGAGTTACGTGGAGTTTTGGTTTTAGATTTTGACAACTTCCGAAATTGAAAAACAATGCACTAGTAGTTGCACCTTCCGCAATACACTTTTGATATTCAAAATGGAGTACGTCAATTCATTTGTGAAAATCTTAGATCATACAAACAATGATCTAAGGTGAAAATCCCAGATCAGGATTATTATCCAATTGTTTTTATCGTTTAGTTTCACAACACCCAATAACCTTATTATCAATGTAGATACCCTCTTCTAGAAAGTTTAATCCAGAAACGGAAAAATGTGGTTCTCGATATCACATCCAAACATTATGTTAACGTATGGTCACACAGACAATGTAACAAGGGAAAAAGGTGTTCAAATACAAGTATATGAGACATACACAGTGCGTTCGAGATAAAAGGGATGACCTCAATATCTCTTTCATTTGACGAAATACGAAAAATTTGTTCAATATAATTTCATATGTGACATTACGATCTATCTGATCGCTTATTCAAACGTCCGGCATCACTTCCGATTTAACCGTAAATCGATGCAATTTTGGTTTTCAAATGCAATGCGTATATTTTTTACGATATTTGAAAAGAGCAGTCAATTTGCTGTGCAACAACATGTAATATGCATATGTTGATATACAAAAAAAATAGACAAATTCGATATTCAATATTTGGGAAATGTATGAAATCTAGCATGCCGTGTGTTGTCAGGATGCACGGTGCCTGTTGCATTACACGGGGAGATCGTATCGTGCAAAAGTTGATCTTAAAAACAAGTTATTGTAGGTGTAGGTCTTTTCTGTATGATATGGCACACGGCATGCTAGATGTCATAAATTTTCTAAAATCACGAATTTCTCCATTTTTTAGTAACGGGCGATCAAAAATGAGTTGCTGTCGAGTCGCCTTTGGAAGTTCAAGTTAGGTGCGATTTCCCATGTATACAAAAATTCCAAAGGCGACTCGACAGCAACTCATTTTTGATCGCATTGTATATCAACCATATGCATATTTCATGTTGTCGTATACAGACAATTGATTGCTCTTTTCAAATATCTTAAAAAAACACAAGCATTGCATTTGAAAAACAAAAGTCTCATCGATTTCAGGTGAAATAACCTTGTTTAATTCTTGATCTGTTACATACACGGGGTAGTACATATAGACATTTAATTTTTTCTTTACCCGTTTTGCAAATGCATTGCAATTGCGTTTAAAATAATACCGCTAAATCGCAATCCAACCGGCGAATGTTGCAACATTTTGTTTATCCATTGCTCTTTAAACGTCGCTAGTGTGATTATTGGACGAAACACAATTTGTATCCTATAGTAATCATTGAACAATTTTCATCTACTTCAGTGTTACATTTTTTCTTAACAATTGAACAAATAAAAAGATATAGCCTCAAGCCGAACATCTATTATACAATACCACACACACTAAATACTTGTACAGTTGCCAAATTTCAATGTGTAGTTTAAAACAGGTAGGTAATGTTACATAATTACCAATATCTCATGGAGCCAAGAATGAAGATCACGCGAATCAACAACATTCTAAATTACCAAATATTCACCCCAGAAACCTTAAACGTCTAATATGAACTCATTTGTCGCGATACCTACACATTTTTTATGTTAAAAACTTGAAATTCCTTTCATATTTGTAGGACAACTATGTATAGATATCGCAAGTACCTATACTAACTACTGTTGTGTTGACATTTTTAATCAACTTGCAATGTGCCGTGTGTTTTTACTCAATACCCTTTTAATAATATATTTTAATTTATACTGTCTCAATAAAGGTAAGGTTAATAACATTTGTATTACCAAAATAGAACCACTTTTTTTGATATCTTGTATGCATTAATGATTAAACGCCAATTTTCGTAATGCGGGTGTTGAAGGTCGATTGTGCATTTCAATTCGAATTAGAAAGTATATTACAAGTGTTTTGGACTGTTAAAAATTTCAAATAAATCTTTACTAGCCAATTTTTCTAATCGAAACAGTACAAAAATGTGTACGTGACAAATTCCAGTTATACCAGTAAAGTAATATAGGTAATAGCAAAGAGTAATTATTAAGTATTCTTTGGTAATAGCATAGAGTAAATTGTATTTACTCTATGGTATAACGTTGTCCTTGCATGTAGGTTAATCGTTAATAACTTAATACCTATGTTTACGAAATTTTGCAATCCTACTTCAAATTCTTCAGTCCCTCTATGCCCTATGGTGTTATAGAGGTGTTGATAAATCATAGAAACAGTTCCGTATCACGTATTTGTTAATCTTTGTATTGTATGTTTTGGGTTCGTGGTACCTCAATTGTACATAAATTGATTTAGTCTATGGGCCAACTGGCTAAATTTAAGGAAATGGTATAATTTGGGGGTACCAATTTTCCTTTTTACCACGGTTAGACACATACATTAGGATGTAAAAAAACGATAATTGCCATCTCAAAGTGGTAGCTAATAGAAATGGCGGCCAATCCAAGATGGCGGATGTTGAGTTTTATAAAATTAACTATACCTATCTTTAGAACTATTGGTCCGACTTCATCATTTTCTTAAATGAAAGCTTTTGTGTGTGCTACAATATTGTCATAACTACATTTCCGATAAAATCAACAATTAGTAACTAATGCATGAAGTAAACGAACGGAATTTTTTTTAACTCTTAACATTTAATGAAAACTAAATTAACCCCATCGTTACTTTCAAAAGTTTCATATACACTAAAATCTGCTCCTTCTTCCTTTCTTCAGTGACGTATCCACAAGTTGGCAGTTTGCATGCGCTTGTACACTTTAAGTTATTAGCATTACGTAATGGTAGTTGTCAAGAGCCAGCTTGGTAATTCTACGTGAGGTGATATGGAAGCCAAACTTAGGGTTATCTTTCATCTTTTACTGCTTTTGGAATAGCATCTCTTTGATTTTGACGTACAATTTTCCAATGTATTTTTTGTTTTCACATAATCTATGTCAAATTATCGGCACAGTATACACCTTTCCATCAATATTAACAAACTCTTTGCTGACGTTACGGCTAAAAGCCGTATTTGATCGTATTTATTGTAAGACAGTCAGTCTTGTCAGTTGTAAAGTTCTTGTTTTAAAGTTAAGCGGAAACGTGTATCACGTTTTACGAAGCAATTAGTGGAACTACTGTGTTTATCGAGCAGGCGTCGCTTATCAGAAGCCTTTCTTTAAGGTTTTCCCAGTACTCGTTAAAGGGAGTTTTTTCACCATTAAAGAGCCAATTTTACATCTGTAATTACAACGAAACCAGTGTCGTCCAAGTTGAGATACAAGTTTAATTAAAGTAGAGAAGTGAAGGTTTAGAAACATAATGCGCACATACCAATTCCATCATGATTTGGTATTTGATCATGGCTCTTCAGCTACAATATATCTGTAGACGTAACTACAATGATTTTTGTATTTAGTAATTATTTTAGTTTTGAATCAATTTTTTGATCAGCTAAAGCTGTGAATAATCGTTTATTATTGTACTTATGAGATTTTGTGTATTTTCGGTTTGAAACATTTATTAAACCGAATTTATTTTTGCATATCTTGCAATTTTGATATTCTTTGCATTTGCATGATAGACTTGCATATTTTAAGATGTATTTAAATTTTTGTTAGATTTAATCGATTTTAATTTGAATTTTGAATAAAATTTTCGGATTTTTATAACGGACGCGATAATGAAACATACTGCAATAGCCGAAAGGAAGATTTATTTATTTAATTGAGGTTTAATTTCATCATGTCCAAACTATTTTATCTTTCTCTTTCTCTACGGTGATGATGGGTGATATTGTGGAAAGTTTGGAAATTGCTTCCAATAGTTTGTCCTTTTCTAATGCACATATTACTTTTGTTGATGTAGAGAGAAGTTTCTCTGCTGAGTGCTTATAAATTAATTCTTAGCGACAGGAGACAATCATTTCGTGCAGAAAACTTAGAGAAACATCTTATTGCTAGTGTTTATCGTAATTCCTTTTTTATTAGAAATTATGCAACATATATAATTTTGTATATGTGTGCATGTTTATCAAAACTGTTTGCATATTTTTCACTAATATTCTGCATATATATACGCATCATTTTATAGCACATATAAAGAGCTTTCATTAAAAAAAAAAGAATAATGAAATTGGATCAATAATTCCAAAGATATAATTGACTTTATAAAACTCAACATCCGCCATCTTTGATTGGACGCCATTTCTATTAGCTACCGTTTTGACATGGCAATCATGATTTTTTGACATCCTAATAAACCTGTATAACTACTGTAAAAAGGAAAATTGGTACCCCCAAATTATACCGTCATGTCGACTGGCCCATGGACTAATTCAATTTATTTATTTCGAACAGAGCAGAATCTCTAATGAACAATCTAATTGAAAAAATAATAAATATGTAACAAAGTAACACTGCTAAGCAACCAAAACAACCGACATATATATAACAGTATCACTTTTGTAAGTAGGTGTAGGTATGCGGGGAAGAGGACAATTTGACGAACCCCCCAAAAGTGAACTTTTTCTGATAGTTCTGAAAGGATCATCAATGGTTCTAAAGTTATAAATGCTTTGAGGTTCTCGTCGCGTGGCGTGTTTCATTGCAACTAAAGCTATATATATGGACAAGGGCCGTACAAACATTAATGAAACAGAAACATTAATAAAACGCAATGTGAACTTTATACACTCATAAAGATCACATTAACTTTGCCTTTTGTTCCGTCGATGAATTTTCACATGCGGAATGGCACCTTTAACCATTAGATACTGTTTAAACCCATGCCGGATACACATTAACTTATTTTCTTTTTTTGTAGTGCATGCTTGCTTGCTCGTGAGACGTCCACACGATTTGCCAAATCTGACCGTCGCAGCCCAATTATGCACTACTCACATTATTATTATTATGTAAAAAATCAAGGAAAATTAATTATTAATTATTAATTAATTAATCAAGGCTAATTAGATTTGAGTGAATTAAAACCCTTAATAAGGAAAATTTGCTATTTGTACCTACTTTCTCAAAAACATCCAACCTATTGGCAACACAAGCCGCTTTGTATTGCATGTTTATAGTACGAATTAAAAACTCACTCAAATTCAATTTGAAGGGATTTAAGTGAACTTTTTTGTGGCAGATCAGGTTTTACTCCACCATCTTGTCGGGGGCTACCATTTTCCCTTTGTCGGTATCAACTTACGACGCGTCGGCCCATTTACAAATAAATGTGCAAAAATGCGCTAAAAAGACACTAGGGATGTTGAATCGATTCGGTTCAACTGTTGGTGTATTATATCGCTAAAGCTATGCCAAGTTTCATTTGCATGCAATTCGGTTCATAAATAACGGAGATGTCAAAAGAGTCTTCGTTATATTTTGGTCTAGATTGCCTGTTGACAAACTACGAATTTGATAAAGAATCCATCTGCAAAATTCGTAGTCGGTCCATCAGTTCTTTTTTAAATCGATGGACATAACGCCATCGAGCGAGAGAGCGAACGGACGTTTAAGAGAAAAAATCGTGCTGCATTTTGTTATTAAATTCAATATTCAAGTTTGTGATGATTCATATACACTATGGCCACATAAAATCAATATAGTGTTGTTGAATGTATAATGAGATACGAAGAATCGCACACGATTTTCAGCAGGGGAATTTTTTGATACTGAGCTCGCATTCGGAAACACGATTTTTATAATCCGGCTCATATTCAATAACACTGATCCTTGAATTCGTATAAATCGTTTCACGATAGTTTGACATCTCTGCCGTTTTCGAGTTAGACGAGGAACAGGTCGGACGGACGGACAAAACCATCACATAAGGGGGATTTTTCCTTTGAAGAATTACCTATCCTTAAAAAACCTGTAAAAAGAAAATTCTTTAGTTTTTCGTCAATATATCTAGAATTTTACGTTAATTTTGTATTTCATTGTTGAGGAGCCAGTAATTCCAGAACAAAAAAAAACAATTTTGAAGTCATATTTCAGAGAAACAACAAAAAGGGGGCATTTTCAGCAACCACGCCATCGTAAACATTTTTGTCATCGGCTAGCTGTAGGTCCGTTAATTAATTGTTTCTAAAAAAATGTCGAGCTAACCTAAGACAGTCAAAATTTTGATTCAAGAAGGGAGGTTCAATCTCCTTTTATTGCAAGGGGCTGTTTGAATATGGCCAAGAAAATCGCCATTTATAAAAGGTCGACGAGCGAAGAGAATTTTCAATCGTTGTAAAATGTAAAAGAAATTGTACTATATTTTGCGTCATCGTCACGGTGTAAACTAGATATTTAAAGAAGTCAAAAAACATCAATTTGCTTCGTTGGCAGTTTATTAATCTACATTTAAATTTAATTTACGATTTTTTCCTTGATTTTTACATAGTGATGCAACTGTCTTTTTCAATCGACAATATATCATTTTGCGCTCTCAATACACAAATAGCTATTTATTCCAATTTATGAACCAACACTAGTCGCCTCGGTTACTAAAACGCGAATTAATTCAAAATGTTCCAGAATGACCCTTCATTTCGTACTTAATTAATGACCACCCACAAAATGGCGAATCGTTAACGAAATCCAACATCTTTAATTGTTATTGTTGATTAAACGCCCTCCTACGAATCGAGAAAAGCTAGGGTGGTTAATCATCCCCACATATTTCTCAAACATGTTAGCTTAACAAATCTCACGATGACGAAGTAATTATCATGCCCTAACTAAATCTATTCTCCGAGGCTTCTGAAATCATTAAGAA